GGATGCTCGAGTAAGCTCAACAGAAAAAGATATTTGTTAGTGTGCTCTTCTCTCTGAGGCAAGAAGGATGAGAAATCACAATATGCCCCCGAAGAGTGCATGTTCTGCAGCGGTATAAGAACAGAGCTGAAAACTACCATTTAGTGTGCAAAAGGAATTAACAAAGCTCAGAAGAGTGGCAAACAATAAATACTCTGGACTGCAGCTGGTAGATATTTACTACTACTATATAGTAGAAATGCAAGAAAAGCTATAAGGCTAATCTGATTTTACCGGAGAGATAGTCAGCAAGGCACCCTCTGGGCATGTACTCGAAGCAGAGCAGCCTATGCCGCACATCTGCCAAGACACGCTTCCCGTCGTATGGCATCAGTACTTGCTGCGTCTCAGAGCAGTACCCTAGAAATCGCACGGTATTCTTGTGCTTGACCCCCGCGAGACAGGTAACCTCGCTCTCGAAATTCTTGTCCAAGATCTCGTACCTCTCGAAGAGCTGCTTCACCGCAACAGTGCGACCACTTGGAAGCACTCCCTGCAACTCAAAGAGAATCGTGTCAGCTAGCTTGTCTCTGGTTAATTCATTTCAGGGTGGAGGGTCTGCTTGCCTACCCTGTAAACGGCTCCGTACCCGCCCCTGCCGATTTCCTGAGCTTCAGAGAAATTTCCTGTGATGGAGCTGAGCAGCGAGAAAGGTAGATTGACTGGATCCGCGGTTTCATCGAGCAACACTTTCTCCAGAGCAGCAAGTTGGCTGCTCTGGCCGCCATCCGTCATCTCGGTTGTGGAAGTTAGGTGTTCTCCTGAAGCATAATTAGTGCTGTTCATTAGCCATACGTGCAATTAAGAAGAAACAGCAATTTTTTCAGAAAAAGATTACTAGTATATCTATCTGAAGTCTGAAGTCGACTTTGATCTAAAAGTTCAGTGATCCCCTGATTATAGCAACAAAAAGGTGAATATATGTGGAAACAAATTACAGTATATATCTATCTGATGAAGTCTGAAAGAGACTTCGATCTTAAATGTCTGACAGAAACGGACGGACCTCTGTTCTCCATTAGTTTTTTTTTTTTGCGAGTAAAAAAGCAAGCATTGAAGAAAAAGGAATCCCCTGATTAGATTAGATTAGATCTATGGAGGATACGGATCTAGCACCAACTAATCAAAAAGCAGGGGACGAGTCCCCATTTATCACCACCTTCTTGGCTTACGGTAGGTACCTTTCTCTGCCGGGGGAAGCGGCGCCGGCCGGGGCCCAGAGGTGAAGCGTCAAAGGATGGCTGAGGTCGGTTGGGCCGGAGAAGAACTTGACGGGAAGGGTGGGGGTCAGGGGGTGGGTGTGAGGCGGCGCCCTCGCCGGAGGAGTACCCTTCTTGACAGGGGAGGGTCGGAATGGAGAGGCGGAACGCGGAGGGGTGAAAGCGGCCGTTCAGACAATGGAATGGAGGACGACCTGGAGTCTGTGGGCGGACACTCAGTGGAGAAAGAAACCACGCGTGTGTCTACCTTTCCGTCATGCGCGTGAGCCAGATGCTTTTGGATTTTATCTTCTCCAGGTGCATCTTAAGGCATCTCCAGCGGAGGCCCGCAAATTTCCTTCTGCATTCGTTCGTGGACAGAGGACCAGTCCACAGATAAGGATGCGGAAGGCCATCATCCAACTGTAGTCGCATACATTTTAAACTCTCTCAACAAACCGAATGAATTTCGTGCAAACACGGTCAAATTTTATATAAACATGACGGTTACATTTTGAACATATTTTAATTAAAATGTAAAACTATGTGCACGTACGGTTGCGGAGCTTCACTCCCACGACATACACTAGTCTACAGCCGGCAGCGGCGGATCGTTTGTCTTCCCCGTGTCCGACAGCTCGCTCACCGGACTGCCGGGAGCCCCAGAGGTATATTCTTCCCTCAAAAGCACACAAGTCAAAGTATTAATTATAACACATACGTGAACGG